AAACTAATACAGCCATACATAACCACAATACAATTATCCCTAATATTTTTTATATTGTGAATATCCAGCTATATTCAAATTGCCAGTTACCTCATAAAATACATAATTCCTTTTTTTAGTATTGTTTGTTTAAATCAGAATTCAAACATTTTCACATCTTATGATTGGTTAAGTCTTTGAAACTATAAGTTTCCTGTCCATCCTGTTTTTTTTCCCTTTGCAACTTATTTATCAAAAGAACTGGATTGTTTGTCTACAGACTTTTCTATGGTGTGTGTTTTGGTGAATCCATCCCCATAGTATAGTTTTATATGACTCTTTGTCCTCTATATTCCTAGTAAATTCAGGTTTGAATTTTTTGTGAAGATGCCTCATAAACAAGGTATTTGTGCATCTAAAAAAAATGTATTTCTCTATGTGTGTATACGTATATACAAAGTACATATGAAGTAGTATATCAGGTATACAAAAAACAGTATAATGGACACTGTACTGTGTTCTAAATTGAATAAGAGCAGTTTGCCGTATTTGATTCCCTTTCTCCATATACATGTACACACTTTTTTTCTGCACTATTTAAAAGTACGTTGCAGACATCAGTACATTAAGCATGCGTTTTCCTAAAAATAAGAACAGTTTCCTATATAACCACAATGAGATTATCACTCCTTAAACATTAATAATAATTCTGTAATGCCATCAAATATATTGTCCATATTTAAATTTCTCAGTTGTCCAGTCACTGTCTTTAAGAACCCAGAATAGTAGTCTTATCCCACATTATTTTGGGCTTATCTGATTTCTTTCTTCCATATGCTGTGTAACTTGAACTTTAATATCTTATAATTCTTTAGGTTTAGGTGTATTGATCAGGTTTTTAAGATAATGTACTTCTTTTATTATAATCTCTTAGCCTTTTTTTCTGTTTTCCATATTCTTAGCTTTTTAAAATTTCACCTTTATTGCTACAGAGCTTTCTCAGGGAGGTTGCATGAGCTCATTCCGATGGAATAGAGGTGGAGACTTCAAAGGACGAAAGTGGGACACAGACCTGCCCACTGATTCTGCTGTAAGTGTCTAGATTTATTTTATTGAGTTTTTTTATTTTTTTAATTTTTTTTAATTTTTATTATTTATTTATTTATTTTGAGACAGAGTCTCACAAGTATTTAAGGCCAGATGTGGTAGCTCATGTGTATAATCCTAGCATTCAGGGGAGGCTGAGATGGGTGGATTAGTTGAGAGCAGAAGTTTGAGACCAGCCTGAGCAAGAAGAAGACCTTATCTCTACTAAAAACAGACAAAATTAGTCAGGCATGGTAGTATGGACCTCTAGTCCCAGCTACTTGGGAGGCTGAGGCAGGAGGACTGGTTGAGTCCAGGAGTTTGAGGTTGCTGTTACCTATAATGATGCCATTGCACTCTATCCAGGGCAACAGAGCAAGACTATGTCTTTAAAAAAAGAAAAAAAAAAAGATATTAGTAAGTATTTCTAAAATAAGTTAGAAATAATGAATTATAGGCTCGACGCCTATAGCTCAGCTGCTAGGGTGCCAGCTACATGCACCAGGGCTGGTGATTAGAATCCAGCCTAGGCCTGCCAAACAATGACAACTACAAAAAAAAA